CCCCCCCCCCCCCCCCCCCCCCCCCCCCCCCGGCTTCCCTTGAATCGCCCTCAGGGCCTCCTCTGACTCTGCCGCCCTAGAGGCTGCCCCCGCCCCCCCTTCTTTTCTTTAGGTAAAGCCCTGCGTTTTCCTCACTCGCGTTTTATTCCGTGGTTTTCATCTGACTGTGGAAGGCAGAACTTTGGGGGCTGGTTCTGTGCCCCTGGCTGGCCACTTCGCCCCCTTGTCACCTTCCGGCTCCTCTTGGACCCACTGGGTGCTCAGGGGCGATTCTTGGCTGTGCCTGGGCGACCCGGATGGGTGGCCTCCAGCGGCCAGGCCTGTCCCCGCTGGGCCTGAGGGCGACCCTCTCTGGATGGCCTCCTCCTCCTCCTCCTCTGCCCTTGGGGAGCACAGTGGGGGGGGGTGGAGGAAGAAAGGGGTCTGGGGTCTGGTGCTCCTGCGGAATAACACGGGGGGTCTAAGCACCTGGTCCCCACGGCTCTGGCTTTCTTCTGACCGGCCTGCAAATGGCGGGATGGTTGTGGGTGACGGAGGCCTCTCTCTCCCTCTCAGGCATCGAATGTCCCCGTGGAGCCCGGAACCTGCCAGGCCTGGTCCAGGAAGGGGAGCCCTTCAGCGAAGAAGCCATGCTGTTCACAAAAGAACTGGTGCTGCAGCGAGAGGTAGGAGGGCGGCCCTCCATGCGTCTCTGCGCCTCGACTTCGCCTCTTTCCCACCTGCCCACTCAGCTGCCTTTCTCTGCTCGCTCCCGATGCCCTTTGTGAGGCCGGGGGGTGGTGGGGAGGGGCAGAATCTCCCTTGCTGCGATGGAGGGTCTTCCCAGCTCTCTTGGCCTCGGCCTCTTCCTCCACGCTTGGCCCGCAGGGCTTTCTGCCCTCGGCTGCCCGCTTCAGAAGGGCTGGGTGGAGGGGCCAGGCGTGGGGCTTCCCTCTGCCGCTGCCGTCACACCCCGTCCCTGCCTTGCGGCCTGCCTTGAGGTTGCGGGGGCCCCGAGGGGCCGCTCAGGTCGGTTTCAGGCAGCAGGCCCAGGTGGCCACGACCTCCAAGGTGCCTTTGCAGGCTGCCGGCCGGCCCGTGGCTCTCGGGCTTGACCATTTGGGGCCAGTTCCACGAGTGGGGGGCAGGCTTCTGGGCGTGGGGCGAGTGAGCGACCCCGAGGGGTCAGTCCTGGGAGAGGGTCCCCTGCGGTTGGCCAGGCCGGGAGCAGCCCAGCAGACCCCTGAGGGGGAGGGGGCCTTCCATGCACGGCCGGCTGCTGCTTTCTCTGCAGGCCCACCCAGCCTGGGCCGGTTTCCTGGTTTGCAAAGCGCAGGGAGGGGCAGAGTTCCAGGTGACATAGGGGGTGAGTGTGTGTGTGTGTGGGGGGGGTTGTGTGGACCCGCCCTCTCTCCCTAGAGCTGCCCATGAGAGGATGCAGCCCCCCAGGCTTCTCTTCCCTTCCCAGAGGGAGCCGCCCGGCAGAGCTGGCCTAAAGGGAAGGGGGAGAAAGTAGGGCCGTTGCCTGCCCCTCCCCATTTCTTTCGCCCTCCCACTGGGGACACTGCCTCGTCTCCCCCAAGGGCCTCGCCCGCTTTGCCCCTTACACCTCCTGCTCCAGGTGCTTCAGCCCGCGCTTCCCGGACCCCCCCCTCCCCAATCAGACGCTGGGCTTCCCCCCTTTGGCCCCCCCTCCCTTACTGACCCCTTGGTTTCTGTCCCCTTTTGGGGGCTCCTCAAATTCTGCCTGCAGGATCTCCCCATTCGGCTCGCCCCCCCCCCCGTTCCCCTTTTCACTTTCCCCCTTTGGGGCGGGGCTGGAGCCCCCCCCCCCCCCGGCCCGTCTTGTTGCTCTCAGCCTGAGCCCTGCCTGCTTCTGCGAGAGGGAGGGAGTTGCGTCCTTCGAACAGCCCCTATTGCTGCTTTCCCCACCCGCCTTTGTGGCCTTCCGTTGTCCACGGAGCCTCCTGAGGGGCCTGGCTGTCCGTCCGTCCGCCTGACCTGCTCCTCCCTCAGCTGGCAGATCAAGGCCCCTCCCTCCCCCCCCACAGCCCCCCTTGCAACCTCGGAGGAGCCCCCCCCTCTTTCCTCACAAACCGTCCAACCAGCCCTTTCCCCACACCTGCACTTCCCCTCTTGCCCCTCCCTGAACTGGCTGGCCCGGCGGGAGGTGGGGGGGGAGGGGCTGGTGGGGGGGAGGGGCTGGTGGGGGGGAGGGGCTGGTGGGGGGGGGTCCAGCCATTGGAAACCATGGTTTACCTCTGGCCTCCTCGGCTCCTGTCTGCAAGGCTGCCTTGAATCTGGGCAGCCAAACGAACAGATTAAACACAACGGGTGCACCGACGGGTCGGGGGGGGGGAGGGGGGGCAGCCAGGCCTAGTGGTTAAGGCACCAGGCCAGAGCCGGCAGATCGAGAGTTCAAGTTCCGCCGTGGCCAGGAGGGCCAGCTGGGGGGCCTGGGGCCGGCCCCTCCCCCTCGGCCCAATCCATCTGCGGGGGAGGGGTGCTGTGGTCTTGAGTTATTTGTGAAAGGAATAAAGGCAGGTTAGAAATAAACAAAGTGACTTTCAGCTTTGACCCATCCCCCCCCCGCTCTCATTTCCATTCCCCCCTCTTGCCCACGAGGCCCCTTTCTGCCCCCCGACCCCCCCCCGGGATCCCCGCTTTCCTGCCCCCCTTTCCCTCCCCTGAGCAGCCTGGTGGCCCTTTCAAAGCAGCTGCCTCCTTCCCCTCCCTCCACATCCTTTGTGGGGGGGACCTTCATCTCCCTTCGCCCCCCACTTCATGGTCCACATTGCTGGGAGACCCCCCCTTCTTTCCTGCTTTTTGATCCCCTTTTCTCTTCCACCCAAAACGAAGGGAGGAGACACACACACACACACACCCCCGCATGGCTCTTCCCAGCAAGCCGTCATAATTATGACTCTCTTACTGGCACATCTAATTCAGCCATTAACCGCCTTTAACCGAAGCAGCCCCTGACTTGCCCCGTCTCTGGTGGGGAAACTGGAGAGGAGACAGCGAGGACCCCCCCCCCCGCTTTCTTTCCTCCAGCCGTTTGTCCCTCCTTCCGTGAGGAGGAGGGGGCTGCTCCCCCTGGAGGTCCTCCTCCTCCTCCTCCTCCTCTTCCCTGCAAACCCCCCCCCCCATCTAGCACTGATAACGTTACCTACTTGGGTAACAAAACTGATGCAAAAAAGCAACTAAGCTCAGAGAGCAGCGAGGACGCCACAGTCCCCCCGCTGCTCCTCCGCCTCCCACTGGCGCCTCTGCTCCTTTCGGCTCCCCCTCAGGGACCCCCACCCAACCTGAAGTCCCTGGCTCTCCCCCAGGGTCCCCTCCCCGAGGCCAGGGGAGCTCCTCTCCTTCTTACCCTGGGATGGGGGGGGGGGGGGGGGGGGCGTCCAGCATCCCAGGGGAGGGCCAAGGGGGCAGGCTCAGGGGGTAGCGATTCTGCCACCCGGGCACAAGGGCCGCCTGGCCAGACTCCTGCCCTCCACCCTTTGCCTCCTGCCAGACCGCCCCCCTCCCCCGCCCCCTCTGCCAGAACCAGGGCCTTCCCTCCTGCGGACTTTCTCCAGGGCCGGTGGGCAGGGGTGAGGGGGCAGCTCCCGGAGGAGGGTTGATTCTCCCCGCGGAAAGTGCGGGGAAGGGAGGGGAGGGGCGGCCTTTCCCAGGGGGCTCCAAGGGTCCCTGGCTGCGGTCCGGTGGAGGTGCAGCAGCTACGGACCAGGCTGTCTGGGGGAGGAGAACAGGGTCCCGGTGCCCCGCTCTGCCCACACTAGGGAACCCTCCCCCCCTCTGGCCAAGGCCCCTCCTCCCAGGCAGGCCCTGGGGGGGGGGGGCAGGGGGGCCCCCCCGCGGGGCCAGAAAACATCAGGGGGGGGGTTTCCTTCCTTCCCCATGATGGTTTGTCTGCCCGTCCCGGGGGGTCGGTGAAGGCGGGGAAAGGGCCCCCCCCGGGCCCGGCCCCCCCCCCCGGGCCCCTGCTGCAGCCCCCACCCCCACAAGAGCAGGCCATTGACCCGGGGGCCCTGGTGGTCCTCCCGCCCTTTGCCGCCCCAGGTTTAGGGCTGAGCGCTCGGGGCAAGGCCTCCGCCTCCAAAGTGCCCCAAAGACTCCGGGCCCCCTCGGGGACCCTGGTGAGGCTCTGTTTCTCCTCTGCTTGGAGGGCTGGACCTTCCCCAGGGGGACGGCAGCAGCTCCAGGCACCAGCGGGCGTGGGGCAGCCTCTGGCCTGGACGTGCCGCCCCCCCGCCCCCCCCCAGCCCAGGGTCCCTCCTTCCTCCATTGGCTTCAAAGGATGCCACAGATAAGAGGCAGGGGCTCCACTGGGGGCAGGCGAGGGGTGGCCGCTATTTTTAGAAGGAACCTATTGGAGGTTGGGAAAATCACCGGGGGGGGGCATCATTGCCCCCAGGGCCAGGGAGGGGGATCTTCCCCAGCTGCGATAATGAAATGCCCGCAAGGCACCCTCCCGGCTCAGCGAGCGCCAAGGAGGTTCTCCATCCATCCATCCATCCATCCTGCCCGGGGGCAGACGGGGCTGCAGGGAGGGGAAATCCAGGGACCGTGAGGGGCTCATCCGGGCAAGGGACACCCAAACAGGGCGGAAGGTTTCCCATGACCCAGTGGGAAGGAGGAGAGGCAGCCGTGGGCGTTGGCCCTTCCCATTCTGGTGCCCCTTCCCGCGTCTGGAGCTGGCTGGGACTCCTGGGGAAGAGCCGCCGGGGCTCCGAGGGGCATCCTGGCCGGGTGGGAGGAAGCGCAGGAGGGTCCCACTTCCTTCGTGAAGTGAACATACATCGGGGGCCATTTGGGGCCACGGGCCCCCTGCCTTCCCTGTGGGAGACCCTGCTGCTGCTCCGTCCTCCGGCGGTCTGGGGGAGGGGTTGGTTTATAAGTCCTTGGCTTGGGAGAGGACCGAGGGGGGAGGTTCCCACCTCTGGAGGAGGCTCCACTGGGCTGCTCAGGGAGGCCGCCCCCTTCGCCCTCCCCAGCCTGCCCGCCCGCCTGCCCGCCTGCCAGTGGCTGCAGCCTTGGCCTGGGTGTTTCAGCCCCCCTGGGGCTAAGGCGGAGGGGGGCAGGGGAGGGGCAGAGAAAGCGAAGAATTGCAAGGCGCATGGAGGGGTCGCCTGCTGTGGAAAGATGCTCCCCAGAGGCGGAGAGGGGATGGCCTAAGATGTGCCAAGGAGGGTAGAACGCGGCATCTGGGGTGACGGAGGCAAGGAAAATGGCCGTCCGCAAGGGAGGGTCTCTGCCCACTCGTTCTAGGGGGGAGAGAGAGAGAGAGTCGGGGGGGGGGGAGAGAAGTGGGCAGGGCTCCTTAAGAAAAGAAGCCAGAGAGGAAGAGGAGCATGACGCCGGAAGCGGGGAGGAAGGGATGGCCGTAACAGGAGGCCTGAGGACAAGGGCTGATGTGGCAGGCAGGGGGGCAGGAGGTCCTCCGAAAACAGAGGTGGGCAGGCAGAGGACGGAGGGAGGGAGGGCGGTGTCCGTCCGTCCGTCCCCTTTTCCTGCCTTCCATTGCTGGCCCCGCACGATGCTTTCCGGGCTGCTGGTCCCCAGAGGGAGGAGCAGGAGGAGCACCTGGGGGAAACCATCCAGGGACTTGCTGGTGAAGAGGCCCCGCCCTCGCGGATTCCCACGGCCTCCCAGGCCTCCCAGGTTCAGCGGCCACAAACGCCGGCTAGGGGAGCTTACGGGGGGGGGGGGGGGGGCTTGGGTTGCCTTCCCCTACTCTAGCATGGGCTGCCCCCCGCTGAGCCCAGACCGCCTTGGCCCTGGG